GGCTACACTTAGAGACAGACAACCAAGCACACTCACATTCACACCTACGGACAATTTAGAATCACCAATTAACCTCAGCATGTTTTTGTACTGTGGGAGGAAGCCGGAGAACCCGGAGAGAACCCACGCTGCATGGGGAGAACATGTAAACCCCACGCAGAAAGAAAGAAATTGGCGACCTTCTTGCTAGGAGGCAACAATTATTTTTTTTTAAGTTATTTTTTTTGGCCTTTGTGCCTTTATTGGACAGTGTTAGTGAGAGAGAGACAGGAAAGTAGGGGAGAAGACATGTGGGAAAGGGTCATGAGTGGGATTTGAAATCATGACCTCCACATTGGGACTGTTGCCCTGCACATGGGACACCAGCTGAACCAGGTGAGCTATAGCGGCGCCCACGAGGCAGCAGTTCTAACCACAGAGCCACCCTGCAGTCTGCATCATAAACAAAATCTTAATCAGTTTATTATTTGTTTTTTGCCTTTGAAAATGTCCAATTTAAGCAAATTTTTCTTATAACTACAATGAAAGAAATACATTTATTAAATATTATTAAGATATTGAGTTGTTTCCTGCAGGACTCATGCAGGTGTTTCACTCATCCTGTCTGTTTAGACAAATGCTGGAGTCCCTGCATCAGTGGCAATAATAAAAGCAGAATTTGTCCCACTTTGGCTGCTGCAATAAAACTAGTCTTACATCGTCAGACCGATCTCCACAACACTGTGGAAGCTTGGAGTGAGGAAGATGTCAGTCAGACACAGTCTGCACTCTCCCACGCACTCCTCTAATGGTCCAAAACAAGTGATATCACTTCTGTGGGTGTCCAGGACCTTTGATTTTTATTCATTGTTTATTTTAAATTCCGTGTTTATCTGCAGATCTGCACAGAAACAAAACAGCTGATGTGACTTTTCTATTGAGAATAGACCCACATTGCTTCACTTATAGGTATGATTTCATACATATCTTATGTGACATACGACACGGTTGGTGGTAGGAGTGCACATAAAGGCGTGCTGTCAAAATACATATATGTTAGTGTTCAACTTTAAAACATGCACGCTTCAAAGTGACCTCTTACTGCAGATAAGACCGCTGTTCTGCTGCTATGGACTGAGAGTCTGTAGCACCACTTTTCATCCATGTAGTACTCCCTTGTGACATCTTCACCCAGCAGTTTCACACCTCTGCTCACGTGACTCTGACTGCTCACATGTCTGCCATGTGATCTTAATGACGCTGGGGTGACGTAGAGGTGCAAATTAGCCACAGAGGGTAAGTGCCACTGATAGTTAATCACTTAACGAGAGAATAAAAGAGCGCACATTAATCTATAATAGCTGCACGCAGGAAAACCTGTGCTTTCATTTACATATTCAAGTGGATAATTGAGGGTTAGATGTCATATAACTTCTGTAGTTTTTCCACATACGTGGCTAATTTCACTCCCCGCCCTTAGATTTCATTTTGGTTCTTGAATTCTCTCCTTTTTTGGCTCCGTGGCTCAAAGGGAACGAGAGCTGTTCCTTCCAAATGGTCCTGAAAGCTCTTCTCTCGGTGCGTGCGAGAGTGTGTTGAATCAAGCTTCAAGGCAATTCATCCCTCTTGGTCTGTGATGCCATTGCTCCAGTGAGAGGACACACTCAGCTGCACCATCACACACACACACACACACACATGCAGCATCTCTTTAAGGTCACAGCTGGAGACAGAGTTCAGCACTTCTACTTTAATGACATGTCATGGTGTCCTTCGTTCTGTGAGAGCAGAGAGAGAATTAGCCACTTAAGCTGTTTTTTTTCTCTCTCTCTCTGTGAATCCCACAGTCAGATTACATCATGTTCAGGTTGCTTTTGCAACTAGAGAGCAGAAGAATTACAAGTCAAGAGACAGATTGATTTCCATTGATGTTAAATTGATTTGTTTCGTGTGGGTTTTTATAATAATAACAATAATTGAAGGGCTGCAAGGTGGCGCAGTTGGTAGCACTGTTGCCTCGCAGCAAGAAGGTTGCCGGTTCGCGTCCCGGTGGGGGCACCGGAATCTTTCTGCGTGGAGTTTGCATGTTCTCCCCGTGTAGCGTGGGTTCTCTCCGGGTTCTCCGGCTTCCTCCCACACAGTCCAAAAACATGTTGAGGTTAACTGGTGATTCTAGATTGTCCGTAGGTGTGAATGTGAGTGTGCTTAGTTGTCTGTCTCTAAGTGTAGCCCTGCGATGGACTGGCGACCTGTCCAGGGTGTCCCCTGCCTTCGCCCTAAGTCGGCTGGAATAGGCTCCAGCCCCCCCCCGCAACCCTAATGAGGATTAAGCGGTGTATAGAAAATGGATGGATGGATAACAATAATTGATCAGATTTATATAGCGCTTTTCTAGACACTCAGAGACGCTTTACACTGTCAATTATTCATTCACACACATTCATTCTGGTGGTGGTAGCTACGATTGTAGCCACAGCTGCCCTGGGGCAGACCGACAGAGGCGTGGCTGCCATTCTGCCCCTCCGACCACCACCTCAAACAATCCATTCATACACACCAGGCAAGGTGGGTGAAGTGTCTTGCCTAAGGACACAACGACCATGAAACAGGTCACAGGGCGGAATCGAACCGCCGACCTTCCGATCATCGACCGACTCGCTCTACCACCTGAGCCACAGCCGCCCCAGTTTTTATGGTTAATACATGTGTCTTGATTTATTGTTTTTTTTTAATATTTCAGATCAACATGCTGCTGACCTTCAGTATGGGCGAGGACTGTCCGTGTCCCACAGACATCCAGGAGGAGCTCTACGACTTCCACAACCAGCTGCAGCTCCACTGTGGTGAGTAACAGGAAAAATGTTACGAGCTGCTTTATTGTTTATGTGTATTACAAAAGCGGCAATATTGTTTTTTTAACATGACGCAATAATCCTAAATTGCTCGGATCTATTTTACAATCGTTACACGTTTTACTCAGGCAGCTTGCATGAAAACGTAACAATGAAAAAGAACAATCAAAACACTGATATGGAAAAGCTAATACACTAATTGCGCATATTTTTCCAGCTATTTCGTGAGCTGCAGTCGTGTCGGCAACGGCGTAATTGCGCTTCTTAGAATGGTTTGTTTTCCCTCTCTGTGTCCCTTTCCGTCTCTCGGCAGAGGATTCATAGTTCAGTGCCTCTAAGATTGCTCTGACATCTTGATGTTTTGTTAAATAATTGAATCGGCCAACCCTGTGTGGCACCACTGATCTAATGGTAGTCTCTGCCATGCCGCATAGCACCAACCTGTCATGGCACCCTCCACGGAGAACAATAATAGCTCGAAATTGCAAAGACGCCGGGGGAGAGGGACAGACGTACGTCACATGCTACGCGTCACACAAACGAGATGTCTGCTGCACCTGCAGGAACTCCACGGAGACGCCGTTTCATTATGCTCTGTGAATGTTTGTCTGTTTGTTTGCTGCGCAGGAATCCCCATGGAGGAAGACGAAGACGAGCAAGACACGTCCATCAAGGGTCGCCTCCTGATGCTGGTGAACAAGATCAAAGGGCAGTCTCACAAAGCAGAAGAGCCCACAGAGAAGGAGCAAGCTGCACCATGTGAGCAAACCTCTGCTTCTATTACTGATGCTGTAGCGCAGGGGTCTCGAACTATGGTCCTCGAGGGCCGCAATCCTGCAAGTTTTAGATGTTTCCTTCTTCCAACACACCTGATTCAAATGATCAGGATCGTTATCAGGCTTCTGCAGAGCTTGATGATGAGCTGATCATTTGAATCAGGTGTGTTGGAAAGAGGGAAACATCTAAAACTTGCAGGATTGCGGCCCTCGAGGACCGGAGTTCGAGACCCCTGCTGTAGTGCCTGCTGGATCATTAGAACTGGGTGAAACAACTAATTTCTAATTGGCTTTAAATCAGTCATGGGATTGCAAACATGAAAACATACAAACGAGAAGCTGTCAAACCTCTGGGAGTAGCAAACTTAAAAGCTTTTACTCTCTTCCAGCTTATCTAATATTTGTTATTTACCTGCGAACCCTGAACTCACGTGTTGCCCATTTACTCCTCGCTACATTCTGCTTCTTCGTGGCCTCGTTCACCTCTTTTTGTACCAACTCTCCGTCTCTTGTTCCCGGCACAGAGGGGCGAGAATTAACAGGAGGCGCTCCTCTAGCAACCTCAGTCTTGCCTCTATTTGTCTGCCGGTGTCATGTGGACTGAGTCACCGGGTAGCAGTCATTTCCATTTCAATTTCTTTTCAATTTCATTATGGTAATACGAAGCCTGGTGGAAGAGAGGCTCCAGAGTGAAGAGCATCCTCTGTCAGCCGCCGGGCGAGAAGAAACGAGAAAAGAAAAAAGAAAAAAAAACGTGTGATAAAACCAAATCCTTCACCTGATTAAACCCATAGACGGATACATGCGTGGACTGGCTAAAGCACACAAGGTTGAGCACACACGCTGTAACAAGAACCTTTTCAATCACCGTCCTCAATCATCGAGGTGCCACATAGCGGTATGAATGCAGAACAAGCGCTATCTAATTTCCTGCCTCCAGCACCACTTTGGTCAAAGGACCACCAATCAGCCGACTGATTGTGAGTTATTATTTATACGCTTAGACAAACACTCTCCACCTTGTTTGGTCTTGTTTACCTCCAACGTTCTGCTTAGATTTTGATATTGTGAGGGTTATTTATTAGCGCGTGTCTCAATTTGTCCTCAAAACGACCCCCGTTCTCGCCGTAAAACAAGGCCCGTATGTGAGCCTTTGATTGCATTTTATCGCTCTTCAAAACCCTTCTGAGAATCCACTCGCAATCTCCAGACTGTTCTTGAGCGATGCAGACAAGAAGAAGTGGCCAGATTGCACACAGGGTACATTTGGGCTGAACTCGGTGTTGCTGACTGCAGACGCTTGAAAGGCAATCTCTCCACGGGGATTTGGTGCGACCCTGACAGAGCGGCGTATATAAGACCACCACCGCACACATCTCCGGGAGCGAGCAGCAAGGTGGGATGAAAATAGAGGCGTGTGTGTCTTTTTCCCCAAAGGAACGCTTCGGGTCAATGTGGCGGTGGTCTCTGCAGGCGGGGGGCGGCTTGTGTAAGGTCTGAAAGATCAAAAGAATAATTTTCATCGGCAGCCGCGGCTCAGGAGCACTTTTGTCACAGCTGAATGCTTCAAAAAGCGCAGGAAGGGAGTGAAACGATGGAAAATCTGCTGAATGCGCTTTTAATTTGAATAATTTTGCCATCGTACATGTTTGCAGTGAGACTTAAAGCTCGATTGGAAGCCTGATTTGTTTGTCTTTTCTTAGTTGAGACTGTTTTCTTTGTCCCCCCCCTTTCAATGGCTTTGGCGCAGTACAGCCAGATGCATTGTCTGGCAATTTGATTTATCTTCAAGAGCTTCCAAGAGCCACACAAGCACCTCTTTGAGGCAGCGTGCTAATATCAGCGAGCTAATAGTTCTTCAGTAGGAAGTAGATCTCATTACAACTGTACACATTGTGTTCTGTGGATGTGGATTATTCAGATTAACAGACTTAACATTTAGAAAAGTCTGTAGCACAGACAAATTCTATTTCTCTTCACCGTATTGGTTTCAAAGTCAAATTTAACCTGACCAGCAAATTAGCCACATTCTGCTAGAGTGAAGCAGGTTATGCTTTATTTGATTTAAATTCTTTTTAAATGCAGCCAATTATGTTTTATTTCATTTAAAGGCTTTTCTGTGCCTTTTGATAATTCGGATAAAACAGCGTGTAACGTGGATTAGAAGATAAAAGATCACCTGCAGCACTGTGAAACACCCATGGACATGAATACAACACTCCAGCTCTGTAGGCCGTTGCACTGCGGTGGCAGGCTGATTTTTTATTAATATTATCATTTGCATTTAAATGATGGTTCAGAAAACACTGACATTTCCGCCATTCGTAATAATCGGTGAAGTCGTGTGCTGTGCCACGTGCGTAAATTGCGTTCAGCGCTTTTTAAAATCTAAAACTAGGCGACATTCTGCATTTGTTTGCTCGGAGCATCGCTGCATCTAAAAGCAGGTCCTGTGAACGGCTGGTCATCAACAAAAAGTGTTATTCAAATGGACTAATGATGCAGCTGAATGGAAAATTAAAGGTGCGCTGTGGAATTTTTGATCACTAGAAGCTCTGTGGACCTTGTTTGGTCTGTAACACGCATAAAGATAAGATGGGCTTTACATCCTGCAGTTTACTGTTTAGTAGATGCACAGACTGTCCATTAAAGATGGATGTAGCCGCTGTGGTGCCACCTACTGGTTTGTAGATTACTGTTTAAATTGGAATTTGGACTATTGAAGGACAATGTGACGAACGAAGGTTGGTTCTGACCATTTACATGTCCATACAGCTGCCAAATGTCTATCTATAGTTGGTCACACTTCAAAGCACGCTCAGCTTTACCTAAAATCGAGACCACTGTACTCTATTAAAGTAGCGTAAGATAATAAATCCAGTAAGAAGTAGGGTCATTTTTCATATTTTTCTATACAATTGGGCTTCTTTTTGCATCCACAGAAGTCGCCTCCTGCTGGCCGATAGCAGGACTGCAGGTGTAATTCTCCCTCACATTGTCTTCATTTATCAGACTTGTAGATGTGCGATAANCACATTGTCTTCATTTATCAGACTTGTAGATGTGCGATAATTCAGATTAGAGCAGCTGTTGCATCATCAAACTAGGAGAGCTTCAGCCTCTAGGTGCCGTAAACATCAGCACCAAATGTCATGACGATCCATCCGTTAGCTGCTGAGTGATCATCCCAGTGAGGAACTCGTGTTTTGATTTGTCCTTTTATTATATATCGCACGTCCAGCATTAACAGATAGTTTTGTTTTGCTCAGAACTAGACGTATTTTATTCGCTGTTGTGTGAGTGTATTTGACATTTATTGGTATATTTTTTTTAAAAGAGGGTTTACGAGGAGGCAGTAGGATAGCGGGTGAAGAAGACATAAAATATTCCGCGCTGTGAGTCCAGCTATAACTTCTCCCCCTCCATCACATCGTCTCACTCCCAGAGACCCTGAAGATACAGACGGCGCCGTTGCCTCGGCCATTATTTTATAAGAATGAAGTAAAAGGAGCGCAGAAGTCGTTTCCCTCCTCTGATGAATGGTTCATCCAGCAGGAGCATTTAATGCTCAGACATGACGACTTGCCTCGAAGAAATCCGTGTGTGTGAGAGCAAAGGAGCTGTGTGTGTGTTTGTGTGTGTGAACTCTTACACCATAAAAGAAGCTGGCTTCCATCGGTGTAACTCAAGACCGGCCAGATTTGTGTGTTAGGGTGTAGTGAGGGGAAAGTGCTGGAGGGGTGTATTCAACAGCGAAGCAGATGGAGAAGGAGCTGGTGAGTGTGTTTGATCGTGTGACAGAGTGAGAGTCAGGTGTTGTGGAGCCTGTTGGCTGAGAGGAAGAAATGTCGCTTCTCGTTTTGGAAAAAGCTGGTGCTTCTGCCCTTTCTCTGACACCCACGCGCCCCTCGGCAGCAGGATCTGTTACAGCTGACATTCTGCTGGCTTCCCACCCAATCTCACAAAATGCACACACACACACTCACACACACCCTTGCACTGATTGACAACCGGGTGCCAAAGAGCCATTCGAAAAACCAACAACATCCAATCAACCAAACTGACACGGGGACCTTAAAACCGCAATCATCTAATTGCAGTACTTTTAAGGAAATCAATTCTGTGTAAATGACTCCATCTGTTATGGTTGGGAATTGTTTAATTTATGTCTTTCTCCCCTTTGTGTATTCATACCCCAAGAACAAATATACACCCTCACCCACACACCCTATTGATCCAGTTTTAATGAAGCCTTAAGGGTAACCCGCATACGAGCTGTCCAAACAAATGTCTTCTTTTAACCTCAGACGCGTAACTATTAATATCTTATCCTCTTCCCTTCCTTATTCTTTACATAACACGGCTTCGTTTCCGCTCCGCTGAAAATGTGCCTTTCCATGAATGAGCTCGCAAACTGTGTTTTCTTCTCCACAGAATGGAGAAAAAAAAAAGGTCTCACATTGTTGAAACGCACCTGATTACCTCTGCTTTAACAGAGTCGGCTGACACACGAACCCAAACCACGTGGCAGACTTTGAAAGATCCGTCTGTCTTTTCTTGTTGTTCTGTGCTCAAGGTCTTATTTGCATCACTGAACCAGTTCTTCCTTTCAGTACTCAAGCATTGGTTGATAAAAAAAGGGGAGTCAAGTGGAGACTCTTTCAGCCTAATGGAGCTTTGTGGAAGGATTTGCGTGTTAATGTGCGTCTATGTGTGTATAAGTGCCTCAAGGAGGTTGGTATCTTTTTGTGCGACCTCACTTAATATATTTTTTTCTTTTCAGGCCAAAAATATACAGCAAAGCTTACGAGATGGCACAGTGAGCACTTCACTGCCAAAGCACATCTCCTTTTACCGTTTAATACAAGAAAATCCTGTATTGTTTTAACCAATTTGCCTTTTTTAGAAAGAACATATTAGCAATATTAAAGCTGCACTACTGGCGCAGTTGGTAGCACTGTTGCCTCGCAGCAAGAAGGTAGCCGGATCGCGCCGGAATCTTTCTGCGTGGAGTTTGCGTGTTCTCCCCGTGCAGCGTGGGTTCTCTCCGGGTTCTCCGGCTTCCTCCCACACAGTCCAAAAACATGTTGAGGTTAATTGATGATTCTAAATTGTCCGTAGGTGTGAATGTGAGTGTGCTTGGTTGTCTGTCTCTAAGTGTAGCCCTGTGATAGACTGGTGACCTGTCCAGGTGAACCTGCCTTCACCCTGAGTCAGCTGGGATAGGCTCCAGACCCCCACGACCCTAGTGAGGATTAAGTGGTGTATAGATAATAGATGGATGGATGGACAGCTGCACTAATCCATATTTATGTATTAACAGTAAATGAAAGATTTGTTTATGTCAAAGTCACTTGTAATTTTGATCAAACTCTGTGGTTCCTCTTAGCTCCACTGAGCATTTCAGCACCTTTCAGCTCATTGTCGTGGTTTTTTGCCGCTCGTCTTCGCTGCTTTGAGTCACTCCCACCTCTCGTGGTTGAAAAAGTTCTGCACGCTTCCCACCAAGTGAGACAAAGTTGCTGCAGTGAACTTCTCCCGAAACCCTGAAATTCCCTCAGAAATCATTCTTTTGCAGCTTTAATTATGTTTAATGATGTAATTTTCATTCATCTCTGAGAAGGGGAGACGTGTAAAGGTCCTTCGGCGAGAGATGTGTCCATAAAATGCATAAGTTTTACGGCTTAACTGCTATTACATAATATATAATGTCCAAGGTCAATTCAGTCATTTTACGTTCTGTGATTGGCATTATAAGTGCAGGATCATTTAAACAAGGTGATATACTTATTTGAATTGTCCAAAATGTATGTTTATGACTTTATTTTCTACTTACAGCAAAGTTTCTTGTTTGTCCTACTTAGAAAGTGATAAAATAGGACGTTTTTTTAATGCCACATATTCAAAATATTCTTTGTTAAAAAGTAATTCTGTCATCCAACTTTCTTTCCAGCCAATCTGAAGGAGCTCATCTCTCAGACCATGGTCAGCTGGGCCCAGGAGTGTCACATCCAGGACCCAGAGCTGGTCCGTAAGATGTTCAGCCTGCTGAGGCGGCAGTACGACAGCATTGGGGAGCTGCTCCGAGCCATGAGGAAGACGTACACCATCAGCGCTGCCTCGGTGCAGGACACCATCAACCTCCTGGCCTCCCTCGGTCAGATCCGATCTCTTCTGTCTGTCCGGATGGGAAAGGAGGAGGAGAAGCTCATGATTGACGGACTGGGGTAGGACAGAAAGTTTCCAACTTTCCTTCATTCTTTGAAATCTCCGTTTAGATTTTTTTTTCTTCGGTTTTTCAACGAACATCTAATATTCTCTCTTTGTCTGTTTTAATTCACCAGTGACATCATGAACAACAAGGTCTTCTACCAGCACCCGAACCTCATGAGAATACTGGGCATGCATGAGACTGTCATGGAAGTCATGGTCAATGTGCTCGGAGGAGACAAGTCCCAGGTTTGACAACTTCTACCTCAATCTTCTGCACTTCTTCAGGGTTCACGGCACCTCCTCGCCGGAAACAGTGTTCTAGCTTACAGAGCGCTTGTACTTTAGTCTAGTTTTGTTTATCGTTTGTATGTTTGTTATCGTTTGTATGTGAAGTACGATCGCGGGATGAGTGTTCATTAATGAAGCCGCGGTCCTGACAACAACAGAGTCTAGGCGGGAGGGCAGAAAGGCCAGCATGTGGCCGACTGTTTGGCCGGCAGTGTGTGAAGAGGTCAGACCTTTTCCACATTAATTAGGAATGAAGACATGCAGGGGAATTTAGAGCAACAAGCCTAAAGGAAGTTGTTCCAGTAAACTCAGCACCCCAGGGTAAAGCAGCAACCACTCCGAAACCACTTGTTGTGAAATGACTGCCTTTTTTATGAGAGCGTTTGTTAGCAGTGTCTAGACAAGAAGATATTAGATTCTATTTAGGTCCGCCGTCTGCTGCCTGAAAATTATTGTAGGAGTGAAACATGTTGCCTGCTCTGCAGTTACAAATCCAAGAGAGAATATTTGACCCTACTTTGTGTGTGTGTGCCTCTCCACAGGAAATTGCTTTCCCAAAGATGGTGGCCAGCTGTTGTCGCTTCCTGTGCTACTTCTGCCGGATTAGCCGTCAGAACCAGAAGGCCATGTTCGACCACCTCAGCTACCTGCTTGAGAATAGTAGCGTGGGCCTAGGTGGGTACAACCTCTGTCCAGCTCTGTTTGGTATCTGACTTCTTGAGATGATGATTTAGCTCAAAACCTACAAAAATGTAAGACTTTGAAGAGGATGAAGGGTACCTGAACATAAACATGTGTGGTGGCGGCCACATTTTCTAAACCAAAACACATCTTGTATGAAAGATGAACTGCAAAAACTGCTCATTAATATTGGTGATGCATTGTAAGCACCCTTTGGCCACCAGCGGACTTGTTCTGTTCCTCTGAGCTCACATACAGACGGGTGACAAATCAAAGGAAAGACTAACAAAAAGTTTCTTAGAAAGGTGTTGGGCCAACTCATGCCTCAAGCTTTAGTACTCCTTGACTTTGGCTCTCCAAGTCTCGACTAAGCAGATGATTCTTCCAAAGATATTCCCTCATTTAGAGTTTTGATGATGGAGATGGAGAGCACTGTCCAACACATCCGTCCACAATCTCACTTAAGAGTTCAGCTAGCTTGAGATCTGGAAACTGGTGAGCGTCATAGAACATGATTTACATACTTTCCCTATGGATGGTACATTGTCATCCCAGAAAAAAAACACTCCCACCAGAATAGAAATGTTTCCTCACAGGACAAAGATAATCACGGAACAACTTTGCATTGTTCTTTAGTCGTGAACCCAAACCTTGCCAGCACAATGCCCCCACAGCAGAAGTGACCCTTAACCCTTCAGTTAACCATACCAGTTTTCCTTTAACTTGTCAACCATCTGTATATGAGCCTCCCACCTTGACAGATGTGTGTCTAAGTGTGAGTGTCTCCCTCAGACGTACACAAACGTGCACCCAGATACGAAGGCGTACACACACACGCTGATTCACGTATCGCTTTTGAATTAGGTGGCGCAAAGTTATGTGGCAGTAAAAGTCAAATAAAATATTCAGTCTAAGAATTAAAAAATGATAAAATGATATTAAAGTCTGCAAGCAATTACCACAGTGTCAGATGCAGTGTGTAAGTGTACAGTGCCATGTAAATTGGTTCTCATAAATCCTGAAATGACTGAGGTATCTGGTGCAAACTGAACTAATGTTAACCCGGTGCTGGCAGATGAGCTGCTGGTGATGTTTCAAAGAGGGGAAACACCACCCCCTGCTGTCTGTTCAGCAGTAGTTGAAGTGTGCACATTGTAGCTGTCTGGATATACTAGTATAAGATAGAGCAGGACTGGCTGTAAGAAGCTGAGCCTAAATGTGTGCTTTCTTTTTGTTTCAGCCTCACCAGCTATGAGGGGCTCCACTCCTCTAGATGTGGCTGCTTCCTCAGTGATGGACAACAATGGCTTGGCTCTCGCGCTGGAAGAACCGGATCTAGATAAGGTAAACAAACAAACAAAAAAAGACGCGAGTTTCACTTCTTGTAAATGAGGGAAAGAGTCGAAAAAAGGGGGATCTACACATGCAATAATTGTGTTTAAAGATGAAGTTGTCCAAAGTAAAACCACTAAGGGTTAAAGATTAAAGTTGTGTATGTTTTGCAGGTGGTCACCTACCTGGCTGGTTGTGGTCTTCAGAGTTGCCCAATGCTTCTGGCTAAAGGTTATCCAGACATCGGCTGGAACCCCATCGAGGGAGAGCGTTACCTGTCTTTCTTGCGATTTGCTGTCTTTGTCAACGGTAAGACTACTGTTACCCTCACACTTGGATGCTGTCTCTCTCTTTCTGTTTATTCTTGGATCATATTTCTATCTAAATATGCAGAGGAAGATAGCAAAGGTGTGAAATAACCTAATTCAGCTGCTCAGTCTACCTAGAGTTTTGTCTGAGACTGAGAAGGGGGTGAATGTGTTGTATTTTTCTATGTATCTATGCACTCACATGATGTTTGTCTTCCAGGAGAGAGTGTGGAGGAGAACTCCAGCGTCGTGGTCAAGCTGCTCATCCGTCGTCCGGAGTGTTTCGGACCTGCTCTGAGAGGAGAGGGAGGCAACGGTCTCCTGGCTGCCATGAAGGAGGCCATTAAGATCTCTGAGACGCCTGCTTTGGACCTGCCGGGCTCCGTCCAGGGAGTCAGCTCTGATGTGTAAGCCATAAAAATCAAGCGAATCATATAAAATCAATGCCGAGGACTTACCTTCAAGATTAACTGCTTATCCCCCTTTGTCTTGCGTCTTAGCTATGATGCCCTTTAAAACCGCTCTATCTCCTCTCTTTTTCTGCTCTCAGATCTGCTGACGGCGACGACGAGGAGGAGGTGGTCCACATGGGCAATGCCATCATGTCCTTCTACTCTGCGCTCATTGACCTGCTGGGACGCTGTGCCCCTGAGATGCATGTATGTTTGTGGGAAGCTGTGACATTTTTGTTGTAACACTTATGTTGTTTTCTTTCTTTAACTCATCTGCTTTTCCCTTCTTCAGCTCATCAACAAGGGCAAAGGTGAAGCTTTGCGTATTCGTGCCATTCTGCGCTCTCTGGTGCCGACTGAGGACCTTGTGGGGATCATCAGCATACCACTCAAAATGCCCATCATCAACAAAGGTACTGGTCAGGCTGTTCACACTAAAGAAAAATCTTGATACCTCCACCAGACAACGCCACCTTCTCATTTACGACAGCATGTGTAGCACACGTGAAAGTACAGCGGTGGCGAAACTCTGCGCATTCAGTGCAAAGTGGAAAGTTATTGATTTCATTTCACTGCTCATGCCTTTTTAATCAGCACAACGCTTTACTGCACACTCCCATGGATCTGAGTAAGCCAGATCATTTGTATAGCGAGCTGTCTTGCTCTATTGATTGATCTGCATAAGCATGGTAAGGCTCGCCTCTTAAATTTGCTGCTGTGAGCACCGCCACACAAGCTTTGTCAGCAGGCCAAGAGTGAAGACAGCGAGCCGAGGCTCCGGCACCAGAAAACTGCTGCATGCCGCCTAATGAATACACATGACTCCCATAATCAGAAAAGACTTGCCATTATGTACTGTGCGCTTTTCCCTTGGTATTTCTCTGCTCCACACCTTGCGTGGATTACGCCGTTCAAGATGCTCTTCCCATCGTTTGTCTGTCTCAATCTCTCTCAGACGGCTCGGTGACGGAGCCGGACATGTCAGCCAGCTTCTGTCCGGACCACAAGGCCCCCATGGTGCTGTTCTTAGACAGAGTGTATGGCATCGAAGACCAAAGCTTTCTTCTTCACCTGCTCGAAGTGGGCTTCCTGCCTGACCTGAGGGCCGCTACCTCTCTGGATACGGTAGGCAGAGCTGACAGCGGCGTGGGAGAGAAATAACGAATCGCCAACCACTGTAACATGAACTTCATCAGGGAGTTTCAGGATCAATAATATTGGGCAACCTTTTATACTAATGAGGAGCTCCTCATTAAGCCTAGGTTCTAGTTTCATTATATTTGATGAATGTAATTGTTCTTTACTCTTTATTTATCAAGAAAAAGTTTGCAGAGTTTTAAGTAAATGAACAAAATCGTTGGAACAAAATGCTGGATTCCTTAACTTTAAACTCTGAAATCCATCTGATGAAGACTGTCAGATGAAATGAATCTATCATCATGTAATTTGTGAAAAGGGTTTATTGAAAGTGCAGGCGAATAAAAGTTCTTTTCAGCATCTGACCAGCAATTAAGTCAGTTATTCTGTAAGCGTGTGCATGTGTGTGAAGTCTGCTGGATTCCTAGACAGTAAAGGGAGCCTTACGCAAAGTTTGGACCTTTATGGCACTCGTTTCCCTAATTTTTGGTTTTTGTCTTCGGCCTTCCCCAAATCTGACATCTGTCCTGGTCAGCAGTGTTAATGTGGCAACAGCAAAGCATATCACTCAACCTGTGGCTGTTAATTCTGACTTCTTGCAAAACAGAGTCCTGTTTGCAAAGACAGACACTGATATTTTGTTTTGCACTGCCCACGAGAGCTGCTAACTTGAATTTCGTTGTGCTTTCTTGCACAATGACAAATAAAGAGATTCTGATATTAATTTATGTGTAAGAATCTGAGGTCTTTGCGGTTGTAATATTACTTGGCTCTGCTGGCGTTAACACAAGCAAGAAAAATCTTTGCAAAGTTTGCGAACATTAGCCACCATCAGCTAGTCGTATCACTTCAAAAAAGGCTAAGTGCTGGCAACATGTGATTTTCCTTTTGGGGAGTGTTGTTTTATATTTACGTACTGTAGTTTAAAGTAACATGTAAATGTTAACACAATCTTGTCTCTCTACAGGAAGGTCTGTGCACCACGGAGACAGCCCTGGCCATGAACCGCTACATCGGCTCGGCCATGCTGCCCCTCCTCACCCGCTGCGCCCCTCTCTTTGCCGGCACCGAACACTACGCCACCCTCATCGACTCCACCCTGCACACCATCTACCGCCTTTCCAAGGGACGTTCACTCACCAAGGCGCAGAGAGATGCAATAGAGGAGTGCTTGCTGTCTGTTTGCAAGTAAGGAGCATAAGAAACTTCCTGTCTGTGGAGTTCTTCTTCCAGCCGGTGATAACACACCAAACACTCATATCTCACCTGGCAGGAATAACGACGATCAACAGCACATTCTATCAGCTTTCTAGGGAAATTCTACTGGAAGTCAGTTCCTGTAAATATCTTTCTAAGGCAGTGCGACAAAATTGGTCGGAGTCGGAGAAAGTGGTGTTTAAATGCAGCCCTGGGCAGCAGCACTCTTATCTCTGTCTCACGCTATTCTGCAGGCACCTCCGTCCCTCCATGCTGCAGCAGCTCCTGCGCCGCCTCGTCTTTGATGTGCCCTTGCTGACTGATTACTGCAAGATGCCTCTAAGGGTGGGCAACAGTTTCTTCACTTTTTTCACTCTTCTTAAATCCCTTTGTCATCCTTTATCTCGTGGTCCCTGATGCTTTGCCTGCATGCCTTCCTTTTACTTGGTCTGCCTCATTATCAGCCGGTTGCTTTTAATCTTTGTCATTTCAATTTCTTTTTTTTTCCTCTTATAATCAAACTACTCTTTTTTTTTTTATCTGTGTGGTCGCTGCTTGGTTACGCTTCACTCCCCCAGGTTTTTAGATCGTCAACTTGGCAGCGAGCTACCAACAGCTTATTTCCACCAACTCCAGAGAAGGTGTACTTCTAATGCAGTATTACTGGTGTTCACCTCTCTCTGTCTCAAACACACACACACTCAGAGGTGCACGGTTGCATCACACCTGTGGTGTTAATCATCTGGTGTGCAAGAAGTGGGCAGCTAGAGGAGGGAAAACAAGGGGATGAAGTACTGGACTGTGTGATTACAGGCTTGTTGGCTCCACTGCTCCACTCCATCTGTCAGGCCACAGGAGAGAAATACTGAAGCTGTAATAGATTGTGACTGGCCTGTGAAATGGAAGACGGAGTTCTCCTCACTTTCATGTACAGATTTTATATTTCATTTGTGCTGAGTATGGGAGAAATGATTCCCTTTGGGGTTCTGTTTGTTATGCATGCGTGGCCGAGTGCGAGTGTGTTTACAGGTAGCACGCATGCTGATTACCTGTCACTGAAAACATTGTTTCCCTCACTAAAGTCTGTATATTTATCACTGTGTCTTGCCGTTTGATCTGTTTGTGACCCCCAGCTGCTAACAAACCACTACGAGCAGAACTGGAAGTTCTACTGCCTCCCGTCGGGCTGGGGCAGCTTCGGCACAGCATCCGAGGATGAACTTCTGCTCACCAAGAAGATCTTCTGGGGGGTGTTTGACTCTCTGTCCCAGAGGGTGAGGTGTTACCCATCAAGTTTGTTTTGTTATCTAGATGCTTTGCAGTCTTATCCTGACTTCACTTGGACTTCATGGTGATCATTTAGCTGCATTTGACGAACAGCTGACACCTGCTTCTTGTTGAAGAGCATTTTCTAATAGAGTGTATCACTACAAAGGCTCCACCAAATTGATAAACAGTTCAATGAAAGTCACCTAATCCATCACAGCCCCGATTAACATGTATGTATGCAAAGGAATCACCGGCTCAAATACCATGAGGTCTGTTAGCAATGCAGATGGCTGGACTCAGCACATCTCTCTAAATGCCCACTCATGAAAGGAGGCTGTGCAAAGGGCCAGTCTGAAAACATCAATATCTGGACAGCCACCATTGATCCAAAGCCTCTCGGGCGGTGGTTCTTCAGCTTTTAGAATAATTCTTCATTAACGTCTCTTCTGCTGGCCGCTGTACTGTTTCTCTCAGGCTGGAGCGGCTGTGCAGCTTCATCCAGCTTTAACGAACAACTAAATACATTACATTTGTTAAGCAGCGTTTCTAGTTGCACAGATGTGCCGTGACTACATTTCAGGAGATGCGTTTTACATTTAAAGCTTTCTTTCTCTCTCTCCTCGTGCAGAAGTATGACCCGGAGCTATTCAAGATGGCCATGCCTTGCCTCAGTGCCATAGCTGGAGCTTTGCCACCAGACTACGTGGATGCCTCCATTAGCACCACTGTGGAAAAGCCTGTGTCTGTGGACGCTCAGGGCAACTTTGACCCCAAACCCATCAATACTGCAAAGTAAGTCGTTTCAGAGACCGACATCTATGAGAACTATAGAATCATCCTGGCCTGAAAACCCAAGTGCAAAGAGATAATTGAGATGTGGGGACTTTGCAAGTGTATGGTTTTTGAAGATTTTAGTCATGAATTGTCCTTTTTTCTTTTAACCATGGAGATCTCATACTCCAGCTGTTGTTCCAGATGAGTTGGAAATGGTTTGGAGAATGACATTTTAGCGAGTTTTGGATTTAAAGCCGAGTTTGATTATGAGCTGTTGAAATGTTTGACAAACCGCAAACCGACGCATCTCCTAAATTGACCAACCAAATGTTAAATCCATCTATTACACCATTTTTTTCATGTAACATAGTTTATTTGTAAAGACATACTATTTTGATTAACTTTTTAAATGATTGGATTTGTAGTGACATGTACAGCACAACCGCACACGACTTCACTAACATGCATTTGCACACATTTGTAGACTAATTGACACACTTTTTTTTTTTTCTAGCATTGCTCTTCCAGAGAAGCTTGAACATTTTGCCAACAAATATGCCGAGCACTCCCATGAGAAATGGTCTGCAGAGAAGGTAAGGCCAAAGATAAGAGCCTCCACCAGGGGGAAATGGCTATTAAATGGTGCACTATTAGACTCAGAGCAAGTCATGAGTGTTGTAAGAAAAGGATAGGACACTAAAAATGTCTCGCCTCGAAGAAATATTGCGCAGGACGATAATCAACTGAAAAGCATTTCAGCCATATAAAAGTGGGAGAAAAATCAATTCAGATCAATATCTCCATTTTTTATTTTTTTTATTCTTTTTTTTTTACATCTCGCAGCAGTTTTCTCTTTTGGCGATGCCTCTTTTTGTTATAACCTAAAGGGATACTCTGGGCATGCTGACAATAATTGTGGTAGTCTCTGAGCAGAAGACCTCTGCTCTCTTTTGTGCCAGCTGCTTAGTTTGCATTGTTGCATCTGTCAAAAAAAATTTAGCAAGAGCTGAGAACGGCAAGAACCCAATGTACTATAACTCCGTAATGTGTTGTGTGTGTGTGCTCGATCTTTTAGCCAGCCTTTCAAATAATAAATATCATCCTCAGGGGACTCTGAAGGCAATGAGGATTGTTTTTTACCCTCCCTGTTTTTGCCTCAGGTCCTGCTGGGGTGGAAATATGGAGACTGTGTGGACGAGAAGGCGAAGACTCACCCTCAGCTCAGGACGTATAAAGCCCTCACAGAGAAGGTACGCAGTGATGAATGTGAGATTTGTGTATGGGTTTCTGGGTGTGTTCTTAACTTCTGGGTCTGCTGCTTCAGGAGAAGGAGATCTACAGATGGCCAATAAGAGAGTCCCTGAAGAGTATGCTGGCAATGGGCTGGAGCATCGACAGGACCAAGGATGGAGAGAGCATGTCTCAACAGAGGGAGAATGAGAAAATGAGAAAGATATCTCAGGTTTCACAGGTAAAGATCAACGATTCTGTCTCTGCAAAAAAAATGGAAAGAAAAAAATGTCGTTGTTGTTGTTGCATCCCACCAGAGCATCAATAATGTGTTCAAAACAGTATAGTACACAATGAAAATAAATCAAGTCTCCTGAAAAGTGTTCGTCTCCGGTATGAAGAATGTAGATAGTCAATGTGTTTAATGCCTGAAAAAGTCTTATCTTTTATGACACATGCTTTCTCTCTTAAACAAACAGGTTTATGCGTGCCTTTAAAATGAGAAAATCATCATATAGTATTGATTGTTAACAGGCTTTTATTCAGAACTAATATTTTTATGAAACTGGGATAACAGAGGCTGCCCTTTAACCACTAATCCATTGTATAGCTTATCGCTAAGTGTTTCAACAGTTCATTCTATCTTAGATAGATAGATAGATAGATAGATAGATAGATAGATAGATAGATAGATAGATACTTTATTAATCCCGAGGGAAATTCAAGCAACCAGCAGCATATAAACACAGACCATGCACACAGAATATTTCAGGTTTTTAAAGTTGCTTAACAATAAGTTTTTCCACAATTCTTCTGTTTACTTCTGCTATTCTAAGCTCTGTTTACCAAATGTGTATTGATAACAGTTTCAACTCTTACTTTTTCCTTTTTTTTTGCTAGTCGTTAAAGTTTTTATCATTGGCATTACATCTAGCTAACTATTGCAACTGTTTATTATTTACTGTAGCTAACTGTTTTGAAATGCTTTTTTGCTGCTTCTATTTAAATCTTTGGAGCCTTTATGTCTAGCTATTTCAACTATTTATTTGCTTTTAGCTAATGTTGACTATTTCAGCTGCTACTTTTGCTTATTTTTATTTATTTGTTTTTTTGCTATGTATTTCAAAAATGTTAATTTTTAACGTAACTGCTAGCTAACAGTTTCAATGATTTGTTTACTTTTAGCTACTTTGTCTTTTTCTTTTTGCCAATTTCGATTACATCTAGTGAACTGTTGTGACAGTTTGTTTTTTTTGCTCCCTTTTAGCTGATGTTAAATTTTTCAGCTGGTTTTTACTCATTTTTTGTCAGCTATTTTGAAATTTGCAATCATTAGCTATACTTTCTGCAAACAAGTTGAACTCTTTATCCATTACTTGTTGCTAATCATTTATAATAATAATAGTTTGTATTGTTAATTAAGTGTGGAAACCACTGGCGTCGGCTTTTGGCTGCTGATCAAACACTTATTTACCAGAAAAACAAAACTGGTTTTGTTGCTAATTTCTTTCCACAATAGACTGAAAGCAGAACAGCCCAGAATAATCCTTTAACACATGTCGTTAGAGCGCTAATCTTGTGTTTTCCAAGTGTTAATATTTAGCACGCGGTGTTTCATTGTGAATCTGCATCTATTTCCAGGCCAACGGTTTTAATCCGAGCCCGATAGACACGAGCAACGTGGTTCTATCCAGGGAGCTGCAGGTGAGTGACCCCACATTTGTTTTGTTGTACTTCTTCCCTTTTATTATATCAAACGATCTCCGTCTGAATACGAGATCAAAAGCAATCTTTTGTGAATGCCAATGAGCAGCGTGGGCGAGATGTGCTTCTCGCTGAGTTTGTCTGTTTTTGTCTTCGGTACAAGGGGATGGTGGAGGTGGTGGCTGAAAATTACCATAACATCTGGGCCAAGAAGAAAAAAAGTGACCTTGGAAGCAGAGGTGATTTGCTAATGAAGCCAGCCGTGAATGCACAGTCTACTTCGCAACGACACATTCAAAACAGACAGACAGAGACTCTACATGCCGGGTTGTCTGTCCTGCTGGTTTTGACTAAACGGGTTCAACTGAGCGGTGCTTCCATTTCATTTGCCCTCACACAGACAGTCAGCAGGGAGACGTGCTGCAGGTGATCACGTCTAAACACGAGGTTGTTTGTGGTTTCAGGTGGGGGAACACACCCTCTTCTGGTGCCCTACGACACGCTGACAGCTAAGGAGAAAGCCCGTGATCGAGAGAAGGCTCAGGACCTTTTTCGCTTCCTGCAAATTAATGGCTATAGCATCACAAGGTCAATACGCCCAATGTCTGTCATTGATATTACATTAAGGTCTTTACACCACTTCATAACCATCAGTAGTCAGCGCAGTCCTTTATCAAATGCTATTAAAGGAGTTTTAGTGTTGTCAAAATATTAATTTATCGGTAATGTCTTTTTACGTTGCAGAGGTCTGAAGGACCTGGAGCAGGATTCCTCCTCTATGGAGAAAAGGTTTGCCTATAGGTTCCTCAAGAAGCTGCTCAAGTACGTGGACTCGGCCCAGGAGTTCATCGCACACCTCGGTATGTTATTATCACATCGGAATATGCACCCATATGTAGACTAATGGTCACGCTTTTCTCTCAGATGTGTTGTTATTACATCAGACTAAAGACCTAAAAAAGACTAATATTAAACATCTTGTGTATGTTCTCACTGCAGAGGCCATGGCTGCCAGTGGAAAAACAGACAGATCACCTCATGAGCAAGAAATCAAGTTTTTTGCCAAAGTAAGGAAGTCATACGAGCCAGTAGTTTAGTAGCATAGATCAGGGGTCTCGAACTCCGGTCCTCGAGGGCCGCAATCCTGCAAGTTTTAGATGTTTCCCTCTTCCAACACACCTGATTCAAATGATCAGGATTGTTATCCGGCTTCTGCAGAGCTTGATGATGAGCTGATCATTTGAATCAGGTGTGTTGGAAGAAGGACACATCTAAAACTTGCAGGATTGCGGCCCTCGAGGACCGGCGTTCGAGACCCCTGGCATAGATGGAGAACTCTTTGAAATATTACTTTCCTAACCGGTTGTGGTCTTGTCTTCATCGTCGCCCTCCTTCAGGTTCTTCTCCCCCTCATCGACCAGTACTTCAAGAACCATTCGCTCTACTTCCTCTCCTCCCCCAACAAGAACCTGAGCAGCAGTGGTTACGCCTCCAACAAGGAGAAGGAGATGGTCACCAGGTATCCACTCACACACGACACTAGTTTGTTCTCTGCTTGACATCTTCTAATGTTATATTGTTTTGTACTTATATACTCAGTGTGTTGATACCACTCTGTCCATATTGTTCATTCTATTTTAACGTACTTTATACACCCACTAATTGTAAATAACGCACTCAAATGCTGCTTTTGCACTTCTGGTTAGCTGCTGAACTGCATTTCATTGTCTTGCAATGACAATGAAGTTGAATCTAATCTTATCTTAATTACTAATCTTCTATACAAGGATTTACTCGCTGTGTGTTTTCTAATTCCTTCCCTGTTTCTATTCTACACTTCTACAGCCTGTTTTGTAAACTGGCAGCTCTTGTCAGACATAGAATTTCTCTCTTTGGTAAGTCGATCCCTGTTGAATGGTCAGGAATGCATGTGCATGTGTGTTTCTACATGTGGTCTTAAGGGCTTTTATTAACGGCACCGTGAACGGCAAAAGATCGGAATGTGTGTCTATAAAAGTGCAGAGTCAAACCCTGAAGGAATAGCTTTAGAAAATTAATTGCTTTCTTTGATACAACCGTCATGTCTGTGCGATAAATGAGAAGCTACTGCCAGGAACTGATTAGCGTAGCTTAGCATTAAGAAACATCCAATCTAACATGCTCCAAACCTAACAAAATCCACCCGCTTGTACTTTTTTATAAATTAAATGTAGTTACACAAATCATTTTAAAGGCTAAGCTAAGCTAACTGGATGATAATAGTCAAAGATAGAGTCTCATCAAGCAAGAAAACCAAGAAGCGTATCTCCCAAACTATTACGTAAAGCAACATCAATTTAAGCCTCCTGTCAGTCACTGAAACAACCATCGATTATTTAGATTGTGAGGTTTCCGTATGTAAATCAGTCGACTAAACCACTGACTTCATTACTTAAACCGCTGTGCCCTTACCTACAGTGGATGTCCCACATCCAGCTGAGGCGGTGAACCGGACATCGATCCACTGACCTTAACACGTTTAAATGAAACCTTAACCTGCCCGTCTCACTGGTGGGGCGACCACAATCACAGCTCTGCCCTGAGAGAAGCTCAAGACAGTCTTTAGATGTGGGTGACTGTGTGTGTTCACGACCTGACGAGGATCTTTGTGGTGTTTTGCAGGAAGCGACTCCACCACCATGGTCAGCTGTCTGCACATCCTGGCTCACACTCTGGACACAAGGTGGGCTCAAACGTGGCCAAGCACAAAACACGAAGGGAACTTTTTGATAAATGTTAAGATGTTTGATAATGATTGCGGTTAAGTATACATTTATTAGAAGGACGTTGTTCTACTGTAAAGTGGATTTAACCTCTGCCGCATCCTCGAGAGTAGCTTATTTGTCGGGAACGGTTTCTTTTTAAACATTTGTGGAGTCTTGTGGGAGGCGCTGGCATTAACAAAGCGCCTCCTCTGGCATTTAAATAAGCAGCACGAATTTCATGCAGCACATGTTGCCCAAGGCTCACAGTGTTCTTTAGAGACAATGTACTGTTTGTTAATGCCGCTCACACATAATGAGGCTAAATTGGCGATGTATTATTGTGTCTTGTTTGCACTAAAGAGCTACAGCTGAAGCCCAAAGAGTCTGTCTTTCATTTCTCCTTCCTTCTGGGACACATCAACGTTTAACAATGGGTAATTCATTTACCAATGTTATGAACTGTGAAACGCTGCAAACGGACAGACTAATCATATTAATGCATTGTGCTATTTCAGTGGCGTATAATGTTTCTAAGCTCCGACGTTGGCAAACTCACCTTGGATTTAAATATTCTCCTAATTCATAAAATAAATCATTTACGTTTCGGTGTGAGGGCGGTCAGGTTGACGCTCACGTCTCATATTTCATGACTAAAAACCTTCACTGGCTGCGAGAGTGGAGTTAATTGCGTATGTGAGCGTGTCCTACTGTGGGTAAACAGTGTTGTCCTTTGCATACCAAGGGGGGGTATATCCAGTGGTTTATTATAGCCCTGCCCTTGCGTATCTCCTCGTTCGGTTTCAGTCATTCATCACGCTCTCGTTCACTCCAACAGGACGGTGATGAAGTCGGGCTCGGAGATGGTGAGGGTGGGGCTGAGGACGTTCTTTGAGAACGCCGCGGAGGACCTGGAGAAAACTTTCGAGAACCTGAAGCTGGGGAAGTTCACTCACTCCCGCTCGCAGATGAAAGGGGTGTCTCAGAATATCAACTACACCACCGTCGCTCTGCTCCCCATCCTAACTGCCCTGTTTGAACACATCACTCAGCACCACTTTGGAGTCGATCTGCTTTGTGAGTACCGACGGCGTAGGAATGATCAAGCGTGCTGTCGGAGAGGCTGCAAAATACCCACAGTGTCAGCTTCAGTTTATTGTAATGCATGATTTACATGCTTCTGACACATGGATGCAGTGTTCATATCAGTTCAGCTTCCATACAGCATCATAGAGTGACATGAATACAAAAAAAAAATAGTGTTAAAGCTGGTAACTTGGGGCCAAATGTGCTAATATGTGTCTGAAGAGTAGATTCACTTGTTTTGTCCATCGATATGTGCTTCATTTATCAAACAGGTTTCTGAGCCAGTATTTGCAAAACGTGTGTCTCTCTTCTTACTGGTTATGCATTCAAGGGAGGATCCTTGCTATAATGGCAGGAGAGATGTTAACAGAGGTTAATCGTGTATTCCACTGGATTTACTAAGGTCGTGTAATTTGCGACGGTCAGTTCTGTGGGGAAAATTCGCCGCCTCTGAAAATCAGGCCTAATCATAGTGTAAATCGGGATTACATAGCCACAAGGAAGATTGCGGAGGGAAAAGAAATACTACATGAATTTCAGTGGGAGCATATGTGGTGTAGCTGCATCCTGAAAATGTTCAAAAGGCTTTAATGAGTTAACAAGAAATGAGCTACTTTAGCTAAATCTGATTAT